ATGCACTTCAATATGTGCCAGCTTCATTTAAACATAATATTCTACAATTGAATATTAACAACATGCCTAACAATTTCATAATCTTATAATCCTATGAATATATTCCCCCACCTATGAAAGTTTGTAAGCCAGACACTTTATGCCTATATCCTTCCCATTTTGGGTATCCAGTTTCTATAATGCCCACTTACATCAACCCAGTGCTCTGAGGGGACAATCATATTCTTTGATATGAAAAATCTTCATTCGAGTTGGAACCTTATGAAGTTCTTATCCATAAGCAAAGTCACATCAGGACAGGCTATCCATAAAGTCAACAGCAACATACCCCAGTTCACAGGCTCAAAAATCTGTTCTTCATCTGGTCAGGTTCTAGTCAACTCAATGTATGCTGCTTCACTTAGCCTAACGAGGGTGCCCATTGGCTGCCGTGCCTTTAGCCTATGGGCTCCATCACAAATTCTTAATGACCCTAACCCCCTTGTGCTAGGTCATGAACTTCAGACCAGTCAACCTGGTCTCCTCTAGTCCCTTTGAACCAGGTCCACGGGTGCCAGTGGTCAGACTCAACCCATCTCTTTATTGCTGAGTTTCTCTCACTTCCACTCAACAAGTGGATCCAGGTGGTCACCAGCAAGCATTTCAGACTGGCCATAGGCCCCCTTTAACAGTCCTAGAGCGGAGAGTTCCTTTCATGGCTCCACATTTTTCCAGGGTCTGACACAAACCACCAATTCAAAATCCAAAGAGTTCTTTTTGCCCTTCACTCGCTCAACAGACCCCTAGGCAAGTCTCTTCACCTTCAAATGTCCTGAGCGCTCAAGACATTGGGTGGAACTTAGCTTTTCAGAGCTTTCTTTGCAGGCATTACCTAACCTATTTAAATATTCAAATTAATGGCAGAAGGCAAATGGGCTTCCAAGCTCTCTATTTTCATACTTCCCAATAATCATATCTATCAATCATTATATATTAACAATAGCCAGAAAAAAACAGTATAAACCTAGTACAGGCAGATCCTAAACTTAATTCTTCAAACAGTTAAGTTCAATCCTTATCTATCTTATCTTAATCCTTATCTAAATTATTCCTTTGATACAAAATATGGCCTTAGACCTCTGACTGAATGAAGCCAGGGCCAGGCTTTCTTCAGTCATTTTGATCTTCTGTCAGCCATTTTCAGTAAACAGCATGGTCTCTGAGAAATTCAAGGGTCGATTTTATCTCCTGATCTCAAAATATACATTAATCACCTTCATTTCTGCCATTTCAAAAAGGTATAGCCAAAGACAACAATCAAGCAAAATAATAAAAAACTTTAACTTCCCATATACTTTTCTAGAAAACTACCCAGTAAACTACCCATTTCTGACTTCTGACTAGCCAAAGAAGAAAAATTACCATGAGGCAGAGGTCAAACAAGCATCCACTCTCCAGCTTTATGATTTGTTTCTCTAGTACCTCACTCCTGTTACCCTAAGGGTTCCAGGAGTGGAGAACTAGGTGATTGGAGCATGCTGCTGCTTTAGCTAGTTCTCTGCCTTAACCTGTGAGCTACACTATCTGTGGGCCAGGCCAACCTGTGGATCGTGTCACTAGAGCTTGAAGCTCTTTCAAGACCTGCTTTGCCATGTTGCCGGCGTGTACATCGATTGAGCTGGAGGCTGGTGGATCCTGTTGCCTTGCATTGTATGCATTTGATAAGCCATCAGGGCCTGCTTTTCTAAGCTCTGGAACTACTAACAGTTGGGGACCTTCCCTGCTGCTTGCTGCCTGTGGGAAGACTCTACTTGCCTTGCCCAAGGGAGAATTCTGTTGTCTGCTTCCTTGACCTTGAACCCGGCAGCCCACATGAGTTGAAAAACTTCTAGTATATTAACTGTTCCAGAGAAGTGAGTTGAACTGAACCCTCTGTACTCCTGTGTGGCCTAATTAGCTGTTATATTTCTTCTCACTGTACAAACCTATCTCTCTATCTAAAATCATAAGCATCCTGGTTTCATTTCTCAAGAGAACCCTGCCTAACACAGGGAGTGAGTGACTGTGGTAGTTACACAATTTCATGTCAACTTAATAAAAGAATGAAGGTGTAGAGTGTAGCCTGTCTATCAGGTTACAGCCTGAAGATGTCTCCTTGTGGGCGTGGCCTAATTTTGAGGATTCTGGGAACTCTCTCTCTTCCTCTCTGGAGGCAAGACACAAGCTCTACCTTGGTCTTCTTGCTGAGAAGCCACATGGAACCATGCTGATGGCAGTCACAACCCTGGAGATGCTTCCACCTCCAGTGGATTCATAAGACTTTCTATCCACTGGCCGGTAATCTTCCTGCATTTTGCATCATTGCATATGCTACATGAATCTCGAGGAATTCATGGGCTAATATTGGACTTATGGGCTAACATTGAACTTATAGACATGATCTGGACTGGCCTGGGATGTTTTATTGATGCATAATTGCTTTTGATATAAAATTCCCTCTTACACATTTATGAGTGTTAATGAATTTGTTTCTCTAGGTAACCTGGTGGTATTGTGGGTTATGTGGCTGCCAACCACAAGGTCAGCAGATTGATTTCACCACTTCTAGGGAGAAAGAAGAGACTATTTACTTCCTCTGAAACTTCAGGGAGTTGTTCTAATCTGTCCTGTATTGTTGCTATGAGTCAGAATTGACAGGTTGGCCGTTGGGTTACTGTGCCTTTGACTTTAGAGATTGTACTAGTTGGGATAACCTAGTAATAAACAACAGCAAAATATCAAGTTGAGTTTCTTGTTTATGTTTCATGTCCCATAGATTGTTGGGGGCTCTACCCCACAGAGTCACTCAGGTTGCACCATCTGGACACACTGCCTTCTCAGTGATTGAGACAGGGCAAGAGAACACTGGAAGATCTTATAAGAACTTCAGCCCAGAGGTGGCCCAAATCACTTCTGCTCATATCCAGTTAACCCAAACAAGGGGAAGAAAGAAAAGTGGGTGAAGGGAGATGTCGGACAGGGCAAGATATGACAAAATAATAATTTATAAATTATCAAGGGCTTATGAGAGAGGGGGTAGCGAGGAGGGAGGGGAAAAGTGAGGAGCTGATGCCAGGGGCTTAAGTGGAGAGCAAATGTTTTGAGAATGATGAGGGCAATGAATATACAAATGGGCTTTACACAATTGATGTATGTATGGATTGTAATAAGAATTGTATGAGTCCCTAATAAAATGATTACAAAAAAAGATTACAGCAAATAATAATAAAAAAAAAGAAAGACATGTAATCCCTCCATGAGCTGAGAAAGAATAGAAGACAAAGATGAGTATTAGCATTTTCTACCACACAGGACAAAATAGTTTTGACTTCAATATGTTCAAGGGTGAATGTTTCAAATGGACAAAATCCAAAGAAAACACAAAGGTAGCCATAACATCCTGTGATTTAAGTTAATGTTCTTCTCTTGGTTCCTATTGCAATTTTGGGGTGTTTACTTTCATAATTTTAATGTGATTTTTAGAACAGAGACCATTTGTCAGGAAATTTTATTTGTTCTTATACATTTTTTTCATGCATACAGAGCACGGTGTGATACTTTTGTTTAAAATAACATTCTAGCTTTCTGTGGATTTTATGCTCAAATTATTTCTATCTCTCTATATATTTACATAACTTTAAAAAATAAACCTATTCATCTGGCACTGGAAAAAATGTATGTGTGTGTATTTTTCTTTTTATGAAGAATGAAGTTAGTTTTGAAATTGTTTCAAAATGTCCTTCCAAGAAAACCAAACCCAATGCTATCAAGTCATTACTGACTCATAGTGACTCCCTGTGGTTTCCAAAACTGAAACTTGTGGCAGTAGAAAGCCTAGTCTTACTCCAAGGAGTTCCTGGTGGTTTTGAACTGTCAACCATGTGGATTACAGCCCGGTGCATAACCACTACATCACCAGAACGCCTCCCAAAATGTCCTTAGCTTTAGCAAAATAAGTGTGCTTGAATGGTATTGTAACTCATTTTTCATTTTTTCTTCTCAAACCAACAGATAAAATCCTTAAGATTGAAGCTTCAGAAACTTCAAGACAAAGCAATTGAGGATGATGATTATGATAAAGGTGAGCTTAACTTTTATTTATTATTTCTTCTGTTTCCTACACTGACCCACTTTCTCTTTCTTACCTTGCTTATGAATTGTGAAACTTGGCCCGTTGATTGGCTTCACATAGTAACAACTATTTTACAACACTTTTATTTTATGGATTTCAAAGCCTTTTACATAATCCTTTGGGTTATAACTTTGATTATCAAGAGACACTTGGGATACTATATAATAAACTGACATTAATTTATCTGTCTGATTAATTTATCAAAATATTTGTTGAACATTTCTTAAATGTGACAAACAGTAGGAAAGTAATGGAGACTTGATATCCTTCGTATGATGCTTACAGATTGAATCCCTCATGGAACTTTCAGACTTCATATACTTCAGACCCAGAGTTAGGAAGTGTATGAATTCAAGAGATGCTAGGATATGCCAAAGGGGTCAGATGCATCAAATTCTGTGGGACCTGGCTAAGAATGTCTAAGATAGAAAGGAGAAGTTACAACATGAGGAGTGAAGTTAGAGGCATGAGAAAATGTTAAAAGAGGCACCATAACAAGAGTTGATGAGCCAAGAGAAGCAACCTTGTTACCCTCTATGGCTAAAGAAACTATTGCTGAAGTCCAGAAACTGGTGGGAGAAGTCTATAGATCTACCATTGATGTGATGGGTTCTGAGGCTGGGATCTCACGTAGTTTGATATTTTAAATTATAAGTGAACATCTTGACCTCAGTAACATGAACATCATGAACATCAGCTAAGAGCTGATCTAGCAATTTTTTTAAACTCGAAAAACTGTAATTATTGTTGTTTTTAATTCTGAATATTTTTTTATTTTTAACTTTTTATTGTGAGTTAAGTGAAGCTTTACATAGTGAGTCAGTTTTCCACTTAACATTTTGTACACATTTTGTTTCATGTCATTGATTGCAGTCCTCACAATGTAACATCACTTGTCCCACTTTCTCCCCAGGGTTTCATTCCTCTCTCCTTCCTAATGCTTCTTGTCTTCTGAAATTTGTCCTTGGATAAATTCTGCAATTTTGATCTCCAGTGGTTGAGGTTTGATTCTTTCATGATTCTAAGAAATGCCTACCTATAGATAAGTATATGTTTGGCTGAAAATTGAGCCATGGATATAGGGCAATGAGTTTAGTGCCAGAAGGGTGGTTAAGCATCATAGTCTGGAGTTCCACCAGTGTTTATTAGACCATGAAACACGGTCATTTTTATAATGTTGAATTTTGTTCCACAATATTCTCCCACTTTATCTAGGACCTTCTAATAGGATCCTTCTCAGAGGATTCAGTAGTAGTAGTAGTAGTAGTAGTAGTAGGAGGAGGAGGAGGAGGAGTTGGACACTATCTTGTTCTTCTGGTCTCCTGATCATGAATGCTGAGCTTAGGGTGGTATATTAACCTTCAATTTTCCTCATTTTCCCCCTTAACTACTAGTGAGACGAATGGTTGCACCTTAGGTGTCTGCTTACAAGCTCTTAGGACCTCAGGTCCTACTCACTAAAGTAGGATGTAGAACATGGTCTTTGTGGTCTATGTTATGCCAATTGACCTTGGTGTCTCCTGAGACTGTGATCCTGAGCTCCCAGACTCAGTGGCTTATTCCCTCAAGGTGCTTGGTTATAACTAGGAGTTTTCATAACTTTGCCCCCTGTGTTCTACTGTAGTCATGGATTCATTTGCATCAGAGGTAAACTCACATGCAAAAATAGCTGTCACACATATATGAGTATACTTCCACTCTTCCCACACCTGGTTCATTCTACATGTCTAGCTTGCATCCACTTGTAGATCACCATTGTTGCTGGTCTGTGTATATATTAGTATTTGTCCGTTATCTTTTTTTGTGTGTGTTCTTTCCAATGTCTTCTTTTTATGGAATCATTTTGTACTAACTTCCTCCTATTGCATGTCCTTCCACTTCATCCAAGTTAATTTCTCTCTACCCTTTAATCATGATTTACCCTTCCTTTCTGTCCCAGCCCTGTTACCCTATTTCTTTCTGGGATTAAAACTTTTCTTAACTTTTAATAATAGTGGCCTGAAACAATATTGTCCTTTGATTATTCACTAATTTCATTCAATCTCATGTCCTCCAGGCTCACCCTATTATAAGGTATGTCAGATTCATCATTATTATTTAAGGTTGCCTATTATTCTATTGTGTGTATCTACTATATTTTGTTAATCCATTTATTCATTTATGGGCAATTGCATTATTTCCAACTTTTTGCTATTGTAAATAGTGTTGTGATCAACATTGGTGTGCAGATATCTATTCACATCATGCCTCTTCTTTCTCCAGGATATATAGTAAGTAGTGAGATTGCTATAACAAATGGTATTTTTATTCCCAACATTCGAAAGAAGTGTCATTTCATTGACCACAGTGGTAAAGAAAAGTTTTAATCCCAGGGAGAACTATTCTAAATCCCACCAGTAATATATTAGCATTCCAATCTTTCCATGCCATCACAAGCATTTGCTGTTTTCTTTTCTTTAACTTTGATTATTGCTAGGGTGATGTGATATTTCTAATGGGTAATATGGAGTTGTGCTGTTGGCTAATTTAGTAGTTCCAATGACGTTTGCAATGGTCACTCTTGTGTCATTCTGTCCTCTTCATGCCTCAGGTCACTGTGGAAGACCTGATAGGATTCAGTCTCCCTTGCGTTTGCCCACGATATTATGT